TATATTGTGATATACTTCTTTATTTATTAAGTTCTTAATATATTAAAAAAAAAAATCATTCACACTTATTAAAAAAAGGTAAGCAGTCATAATTTTCCATCCTTATATAAAATTTTTTATTTTTTTTGGTGCAGCCAGCGCCTTGTGAGAATTTTTGTTGTTTTTTTTGTGGGGTGCAGAAGGGGTACTTTGTGGGCAACAATTTTTCGGTCTCTAAACTGACCTTAGCCAGAGATCTGGCTCTGGGAGCTGGCAAACGCATTTCTGATAATGATGGACTGTATTAACCGTTAGCCAAAGTTGAAGCCAGGCAGCTTCGGGCCGGGCCTTTACCTCCATGCATGTGGCCACAACAAGCTGCGGCAATCAGTGGACATTTTAAGATTTTCCAACCTCGGCGGTGGGAAATTGCTGGTCAGATTTTCGCCGAAAAAAAGAAGAGGAAGAAGAGAAAAGCCACTAGAAGTAATGAAAATAGGGGGAGCGAAATTGAAATGAAGAGAAAGAAAAATACCTTTGACAGCTGAGGCTTTCACTCTCGGTCTTTAATGTCGCCTGTCCCTAAACAATTTGAACTTGTCAAGCGTAATCAGTTTTCCTTTCATTTAGCCTGACATTTGCCGCCGCCAACGAAGGCGACGTTGACACATGGCCATGTCATCTTAGCCATCTTAGCCACCTATCCAGCCTCGAGACACCAGAGTGTCCGGCTTCTCGGCCAGAAATGCAGACGCAGACGTGGACGCAGCTCGGTGGCAATTATCAAAAAGCGCGCAACTTTTCACACGCAGCCGATCGCAGTCGCATTGCTGGGATGCTGCAGTCGGTCGCAGTTGCAATAGCCGCCGATACACCGGTGTCACTAATTACGGCTCATTATAGTGACCAAAGTGTAACATGTTGTCAGCTGCGAGGACAACAAGCAAATGTAATGGGGGAAAAATAGAAAAAGGTGCAAGTGGTATGATCGCAGTCTGGAATACTCTATCAATTAAATAGATATGTGTAAGATATCTGTATGAGAATATTATTTACATTTTTAAGTTCAATGTGTGCTTCATTTCAAAATTTATATTATAAATTTTTTTATAATTGCATTTTTAGTTTATTTTTGCCTCAATGATATTATTTTAAGTTTTGTCAATATTCCTTATATATTTAGATGTCCTATAAATAATACTAATAATAAATTAACTGACGATAAATAAAGATAATAATAAAATGTAAGTTAGTTGTGGTCAAAATCTGCAAATATTAAAATATCAAATACCTAAAATAATAATAATATTTTTTAATAGTTAAACAGATAAAAAAAGTCTGTACTTTTTAACAAAAAAGTGCCTTTTCCATGGGCGTCAATAAGTGAATTAGAGACAGTTTCCTATTTCGCTTATCATTTAATTTACCTTATTTATTATACTTTACGCCTAAGATATACAATTGTATTTATCAGGCGCAAACAAGTTAATTTATTTAGAGTTAAATGGGGAAAACACCTATCCTTACTTTAACCTAGGAATCTTCCGAAGTGATGATGTTTAATCCACGGCTAATTGAGTTCCCACATTAGAAAACTCTTTTCTATTTATGGCCTTAACATATACTTCTTTAGTTTATCGTATAACATTCATTCTGGTGGCCGAGGCGAAAATAATCGCAAAGTTATCATACCCACACTCCCTGTTTTCCGACTCGTGGCTCACACATGCGGTGGATGGAGTTGGAGTCGAAATCGAAGTTGGAGACGAGGCTGAAGTCAAAGTTGGAGGAGATATCCAAACACCTGACAGTTGACTGTTGGCGCTAACGCTGGGCCTTCGTGTTATTTCTGTCGAGTGACCATTTTTGGGCAGCCAAGTTTCGTGTGAGTTTCGATCGAAAGTGCAGCGGACGCAATTCCCAACTATTTGCTTTGTCCCACAAAAATTCTACGGCGTAGTGTTTCGAGAGCCCAACAATTAAGTTCTCGAAGAAGACAGCTAGCCAACCTGTTCGGAATTACGAAATTCATAGTCAAGCCAGGCGAAATGTCAATTTCGGAGCCGGTCTTCAAAATTAGCTCCATTACGGAGCCCGATCGATCCATCGATCTTGGCTGTGAAAACCATTTCAAGTGGTTTCAGCAGCCCAAAAAACCGAAAAACCCTTGTTCATATCAATTGAGCGATACTCTCACTTGAGACGAAGCCCACAGTCGTTTGCTACACGAGTTGCCCGAATCACTTATGAAAATCGCTTGAGAAACCCTTGAAAGCCGACGACGATCAGAGTCGTTCAAAGTTCGTGTCAACATCATCAATTTTGATCAATATGTATGGTCTAATGCGCTCCCTCTCCATCTGTAACTATGCACAGTTGCGGGCAGGAAAATAGGAGTAGGTACTGGGAAATCGAATTTCCACGTTATCATATTTATAGTTCCAGGACGATTCTTCGGATCCAAATAAATATTTTAAAAATATATAACGGAATTGAGCTGAAAAATCTATTTATTTTGCAATCAATATTTCCTTACTCTCTACAGATTTGTAATTTTTTTTTTAAAAATCTGAAAAAACACCCATCTACGGATATATACTATTATATCCACCTCAGCTGTCTCTCTGCATATATCTCTCTCTATCTGCCATTTAAACGGCTCCTTTGCCTTCGGGGCCCGATCGTGTTTGAGTTCATCGCATTCGTCTCCGATCGTAGACTCGACAAAAATATGGAAAATTACAATTATTAGGCATTTGGCTTGTTTGTTTATTGGTAGGTGTATTGAGGTTATACGCTAAATGATACATCGATCGTTTGAATAGAGCGATCGAGCAAAACGATCCGGCGCGATCAGCGCGATCGTTCAATTGATTGCCCGCCCGATCGGCCAGCGGACAAGTGAAAATCTCTGGACTTGGCCGACTGGGAGATGAATGAAAATTGCTGCCTAAATGGCAGCGGACATGATCGGCTCGATCATCACTCCTGGCATGATCACTTTCTTTTCGGACAGGCCGGGGAAAATCCCCGAGTGGTGACATGTGTTCGTCTGGGAGATGGGTCGCCTCAACTCTTGACCCAGCTGCATGGGCTAAGCTAAGCAATTATGATCTCGACGATCCCCGGTGATCTTGATCATGATCTTCATCTCCATCTTCATAATGATCAATGTCCGAGATCATCTGGAGCGGGGACTTCGTCTAGTTAAGTGACGCCCTAGGGCCGCTCGCCGGCGACCCTGTTTAAGTTTATAAAAACTCATTATAATGTCTTATAAATGCACTTGTATCAAGTGGGATTTCTTGATTGCCGTCTCCGTCTGTGGCACTCCCCCAACCCCCTTTCCCCGCGCTTTTTCGCCCCAACACCCCCAACTTTGCTTTTGGCCTGATCTTTAGGTGCTCCTTTTCTTGGCCGTGTCTTCGGCACTTGCAAAAAAATATTTACAGAGGTATTTTTCGGTTGATTTAATTATAATTATTATCTGAATATTTTCCAACATTAATTAAAAGATATAGAACTAGTAAGATATTGTATTGTATCATAGTTAAATTTACATTTTTCCTATCCTACATTTTAAGTTATTATTAATTAATACACATTTAATATGATTTGAATATATTATTGTTATTAGATCACATTAAACATATTTAGCTTAAATTATACATTTTTTTCAGTGCACTTGCTGGGTGTCTGTCTTGGAGACTGGGCCTTGCTCTCCACTCAACTCTCGGTTCGGTTTGGGGTTCGGATTCGGGTCCGGGCTCCCATGCTCTCATGCTTAGACACATAGTTCGCTCAAGATCATAACATGACCTTTTGACTGGCAGTGATTTCAACGCCCACGCGTATAAAACAGACCCAACAGCACCACCGCACCACTGAACCACCGCAGAAAGCCAAAAAGCAGGCAGAAAAAGAAGGCAACCACAGCGATCTGGCTCTGTGGTCTCTGTATGTTTATGGAAAATGGGTTATGAGATATTTCGCTGGCCTTTATCTGTTGGCCATTTCTATTTTGACCATGGGAAATAAATTCCCTGAGCGCGGGTAGGTTGGTCCCTCCGCTAATCAAATGGACAGACTGAAATCTGGAAGAGGAAAAGCCAGCCAGCCACGAAGGACGTTCGTTCTGCACTTTACACCTACGCTGGCCTGGCCCGAAGGTTCAAGATTCCGCTGGATAACTTGGAGCAACAAGTCCCCCAGTACTTCCTCATATATGCGGTAATTGAACTTACGCGTGTGGGGATAGTCCACCCTTGATGGAAAATCGATAGACACCAAACCCCAAGAATTCTATACAAGGAGTCTTCCTTGTTTTCTTGGTTGTCCTTTTAGTTTACAAAGCAACAAACAGCAAATAGAGTGTGTATTTTTGGAACAGACATCGGGCACGCGATGATTGCTTTAGTTTCGGGACGCCCCACCGCCCACATAACAAGTTTACCCGACTGCATTAACCCACTGCCAAAAGCGAGTGCAAGGACTGCCCCCACCAAAAACAAAAAAGGAAGGTTAAGTCAGGCTCAACGAATTTGGGATATCTTATCTTGGTAATGGGAATTATTCGAAGTGGAGGAGAATATATTTTTAATAGTTCTTAAAATGTTAGCTCAGGAAATAACCTCTTTCAAAGAGATTAGAAAATATTTAAGCAAAGTAATTTAGTCAATAAACTGTTTGGATTTATTTTAAAATATCATGGCAACCTGGAAAAAAAAGAGTCAATACTTAACGACATTCTGTTAATTTATATTCTAAATAATTTAAATGTAGATGTAGTTTATTTCGTATTATAATTTGTAAAATCTCTTTTTCATATTCCTAGATGTTAAACCTCTTATAATATTTGAGATACCCCCTTCGTAACATAAGTAAACTAGCTTTGTTTACTCCTTGAATGGGGCTCGTTGTTGCCAGGACAACCCGCTGGCATTCCAATGCAAAACAAATCGAATTTCGGCTGTCGGTGCCCGGCTGTCGGGTTCGAAGGAATTTCAGTGAGGCTCCTGCACAGCCTTGGTGTGGTGCTTCACCGAGTGCTAGGATTCCAGCCGACCTTAGATATATTTCTATATCTCTTTCTGTTCTGTAAAGTGGAAGTGCAATGAACTGACATGATTACGGGACCGGAGGCCAGGCAAACGCACAGGTTGTTGGACCTAAAAAAGCAGCAATGGGCCAAGGAGAGAGGTGGGTTTATAGCAAATATATATTTAAGAAATATTTAATTTATATTTTATTCTACCACTTCAGAGGAAATAGCACGCATGGATGAGATGTACCATCACCAGCACACCTCGCACCACAAGATCGAGCGCACCTCCATTCGCACCTACTACTCCAACTTGGATCTCAGTTCGACCTCCAATCAGACTTCCAGTCACTCGAGACGGGCGAATCAGGGTCCCGACATGCAGTTGATCCTCCGCCAGCCGGAGTTTCGGCAGGGCAGCCAGGCCTACATGAACCAGCTGGAGCGGTATATCGACGATCTGGACGTGGATGCCGATGCGGATTTCGAGGACGAGGACGAGTCGATGTATCGCCGGACGAGGAGAGGCAGCTATGCACCCGGAATGACTTCCCGGCAGCTGCAGAATCCCGCTCGCTATGCCGAACTGGTGCCCACATCCCTGCAAACGGCCAAGGGAAGGATGCAGAATTCGCGACAGGAGGCACAGCAGCAGTTAAAGTTGCAACATCAGCAACTTTTGCTGCAACAGCAGCAGCAGCAGCAACAGCAGCGCCTGCGGAGTCCCAGTTTGCCAGCCATTCGGCAGAGGGTGAGGCACCAGGAAAAGACGGGGAAACCAACTGACATTGATCCCGGCAACGGTGCTCAGGCACAGGCACATCGATTAAACAATGCCCCAGGAGGCGCAGGGGGAGGCGGAGTTGCTCCTGGTTGCCAGGAGGAGGACACTTCCGGCTATCTGAGCGATACGCCCAAGAATCCCCACACCCCGGACATTTGGTTCAACGACGGTGCGAGCCAAATCGAGAGCATTAGTGGAATGGGCAGTGCCAGTGTCCTGGACGGCGGAAGTGTGGGCGCCGTGGGAGGGGGCGTGGCCGGGTGCCGACGCCTCCGCCGATCGATACAGGCGGGCACGACCACGGCTGCACCGATTCCTGCACCCATTTCCATGCCCCTTCCCCTCCCCCCACCCACATCGTCAGCCACCACCCCCGCGGGAAAATCCGCTGGGCAAGGTGTACACCATCAAGGGACGACGTGTGCCAGGGCAGGGATACGAACCCCTCGCCGCCGACGGATACATGGCCGATGGGTGAGTAACCAAGTGACCCAATCGCACAGAAAACAAATGAGACAACTGCAATTAAACATGAGGCAAATAAACTGCTGGTTACCCACATTGTTAGAACTATATTCTTATCAAGTAACTACTTTTACATTGCTGAAAATTACATACAACAACGTAATATTTAATAGAAAATGTTAATCAAGGTGAAAAATATTAGATTCAATGTTAGTCATACTACCGTAAATATTTTAAGACTTTAAATCAAATATTAAACCAACAAACAAAAATATTTAAATTGAATATTAAATCTTTGGACAACTTTTCTTATCAGTGTACCTGATTTGTAAAATCAAAGTAAGGATTTGTCTTTGAAATAATCATTAAATTAAATTAATTATCATACATTAAAATATTAAATTTAGTTTTATCCAATTCTGTGACTGGTTTCCTACTGATATTTTTGCATGGCAAATATTTCTAGAGTACTTTTCTTGTATCCATAGATACAAAGAATGTTACTTAAATAATGTTTTTGAATATTGTCCAACATAAATGTGTAATATTTAGGTTCTTTGAATAAAAAGTACATGTAAATATTACTTTTATAACTTAAATTTTTTTTGTATTTGGCTTTAATTAAAAATAAATATTTTTTTAATTCCAAAATATTTTCTAAAATTTTTCTTTAGATACTCTTATATGCCAGCACCGCCCAGCTCCTCCAACATGAGCATGTGTCGCGACGTCTCCACCTCGAACACCTATCAGGTGCACATCGGAAACCCGGAGCAGAGCGACTTCTATGTCCACGAGCAGCACGAAAGGGAGCGTGCTCGCTGGGCCAACTTCAATGGGGGATTGGGTCATCAGGCCTCCCAGCAGCCGCCAGGATGGCTCAGTCGCGGCATGCACGACTTGAAGGACAGCGAGGACGATGTCCAGTCCATGCAGTCCTCCTCCACCTACTTGAGGGGTCAGAATGCACCGCTGGATGCCCACACGCTGGCCGAGCGAATGGACAAGAGACGCAAGGCGGCCGAGTATCACAATGCCATCAAGAAGCAGCTCCACGAGCGGGAATTGATCCGGAAGTGGGAACTGGAGCGCCATCGGCAGGAGGAGCAGATCGAGGAGGAGCGCATTCGCCGGCAGAAGCAATTGGAGCAAGAGCGTCTGGAGTTCGAGCGAAGGACACTGGTGGAACGCGAGGAGGCGCAGCAGAAGAAGCAGCAAGCGATGCTGGATGCCATACAAAAGGCTGAGGTGGCGGCCAAGTTGGAGAAGCAAATGAAGCGAATGGTTCGCCAGCCATCGAAGGTATCCCAGGAAACAGAGGAGGACGAGACCGAGCTGCTCAGAGTTCAGTCCGTGGAGGAGGACGAGGAAGAGGATGTGGAAACTAAACCATTAGCCCAGGAAAAAGTAGAGGTACTAGAAGAATCCAATACACCAAGGGCTGCACCACCGGTGATCACAGAAGAAAAGGTCCTGATAGGCACACCCATCAACCTGCGACGCACCATCACGAAGCCCATTAAACCACCCAAGGATGCGCAAAAAGAGGAAGCAAAAGGATCCAAACAGACCTCTTTCCTGGGCGAGGACAAGGAGAACATGGCTCTGCTGATGCAACCGGCTACTCTGATTCCCCTGCCGGTTACCAGCGATATTTTCGGACTCCAAAATGCCATCGGTAACCTCCAGATAGCCACTTACTTTATGCAGCAACAGCAACCCATGCAGAAGGCACCTCAATCTCCCAGCTGTTACTCAAAGGCCACGATGACCCATCGCACGGATACCTCGATCTACACGGAGGATGGCTATCAGGCGGAGAAGGAGGAGGAGGACCCACTGGCGACAGGGAGATCGGGAACAGTCTGTTTCTCCCCGGACTCCCTGGAGGTGGATGTGGCTCCCGTTTCGGTGCCCGAACAGGATAAACTAGCACTGATTCCCCTCAAGACGCCGCTGCAACTGGGGAATCTCGGCGGTTCCGATGAGAGGGATGACGCACTGGGTCACCAGGCGGATGTGGAGACCCAAACGGAGTTGCCCCTCAACTGCGATCTCTGCCTGTTCCACGACAACTTCTACAAGGTGCTGCTCAAGCGGGAGGTCTCCACCACCACCACCACTCAGACATCCAAGTCGCAGACCCAACCCGCCAAGGAATCCGCTGCTGAAAAGGATCACGAGACCACAACAACCACGACCACCACCACAACGACCACTTTCAAGGCCAAGAGCAAGGATAAGGACAAAGAAAAGAGTCTGAAGAAGAACTTGGGCAAGGATAAGGACGCCAACAAGATGGACGATCGACCCAAGTGGGGCGTCAATCGACCGGTGGTCCAGTATGTTAAGGCCAGCGATCGGGATCCATTCTGCCTGCGCAAGAAGAAGAACCACCCGAGCACGGCCAAACCACCAAGATCTCTATCGATGGACTCGCGTCTGGATACTGTGGCCACTTTGCCCGAGGATCGGCTGATGAACATCGCCGGAGGACCTCCCTCGGCAGCCGGTGAACAGGAAGAGGAGGGCTTCCTCCTCAAGGCCCGCAATGTCTGCACCGAGATCCTGCCCATTAAAACCGACGACAAGGGTCGCATTTTCCTCAACTTTCGCGAGGCCAGCGCCATTATGAACGAGGACGAGATCAAGGACAAGCTGCGCCAGAAGTACTTCAATTTCGGCAGGATCCTTCCGCGCCGCAGTTGGGCCTCGGCCACCCAGCACGCTCTGCCCTTCAGTGGGGTCACCACGGCTCCTCCTCAGGGAGTGGGAGGGGGAGTGGGTGACTTGGCGGACGATTGAGGTCACTTAAAGGTCACCATTCAACTACTCAACGACCAGGAATCTTTTACCATGCATTAACTCATAACTAGAACGACTGTAAACCATTTATGTAAAACCTTTAAATATATCAATTTGTATTGCAAGCACCGAAGTCGGAATTTATTTTTAAAGTTATTAAATATTTAAGAGGGAAAGGGTGTGGAAATTTGTTATAAAATTTAGTTTAACTATAAATTTAATTAATATTTATTTTTGTTTACCCAAACATTCAATTATTATGAAATAATATCTTAATATATTTTTTATTTACTGAACAGTTTATATTATTATTATATAAAATTATTTAAGGAAGCTGTCTTTTAACTGTGTTCAAGAACTACAAACTATTTTCCTTCCTTGTACCTCAATTTCCCTTAAAGACAACGCCTGAAAATACTAATTTCCCCAAAGCAATTCCAAAATGCCTTCCAAGGTGTAATGACTTGCCTAACAAACTACAAACTCGGCTACTTGTTCTGGCGAAATTGCCAGCCCGTGAGAAAGGACTCTTGGTGTGTCTGGGATTTTTCGGCTGCCTAGATGCGGATTCCCCGTCCTCGTCAGGCCTTCGACCAGGTCTATTAGCAACATTGTTGCCGGGTCTTAACGCTCTGAAAGCCACAAATCAAGCAAATGCTGCCACATTGTTCACGGCGAGCTGCTGAGCTTTGTGTTGCCTGATCTCTGGCCAGATCTGCGGGTGTATCTTTGGCTTTTAGCTGGGGGTCGGAGAGTCTGTTACACTTTCACAGAACTCAAAATGTCGTATTTCACGCATTTTTACGAGCGTTCGCGTAAATTTATGCGAAAAATCATAAATAACCCGGGCATAAGCTGCCTTCCAGGTTCATCGAGTCCTCGGCAAACAAATTTTTATTTGCCTCGAGGGGCGTTCTTTTCGCTTTCTGGCAGTGTTTTTTGTTTTGCCTTATTTTTGCAGCAAGTGGGCGCTGCATATTTCTGTTAATTAACGCATTTTGTGCGTTGTGTAACTATGAGATATCTTTTGGCAGTTGTTTTCGTGATCCGAACTCCACACGTAACAACAATGCAGCCATTGAGGAATTAATTGCATGCCTCTGCAGGTTCTCTAGCTCCCAAAATCCAAAGAAACGGAGCCAAGGCGAGGTCGATCCCCATACCTCCCCCTTTTCCGCCTTCTTTTATTTAAACACCCCACCAACTACAACTACAACAAGTTCAATGCCTCGGAATTAAAATTGACCTTAGGTTCTTGGCTAGTTTGCACACTAACTAAGTTGGGATATGTCAGCACTTGGAAATATTTCACATCTTTATTTAGGTATCAAATAAATATTTTAGAAAATATCCCTAGAATTCTATTATATCAATAACATTTTTAAAATTTAATATATTTCTTAAATGTTTTGAAATGATTGTAATATAAGGGTGTACCATTTTCGTTTCGTGCAACGACAGAACTATTTTTGTATGTTTTTTGTCGCTGGCTAAGGGCAAACAAAGCCAGCCAGCATAATGGCAATAAAAAGTTCTCATTCGTGTTCTAGTTTCGCAGCAACAAGACGGCAAATTGCATGTGGATGCCTTTGAATTCGAGTTTTTGGCTTGGCGTGGTTCGGAGGGAATACTACGGGGTGGTATGGCCGGAAAAATTACATTTCCAATGTCACGTCAGGAAAAAAAAGAGCCAGAGGCGGCAATTGTTTGTGCCGTCACCTTGAACGTATGCCAAAATCAAAGCGACCCCGTGATTAATGACACTTGATTAGGAATTCAAACCGAACGATCTGCATTTCTTGTCAGCCACCAACGTTATTTATTTACTTAGCTAACCCGTTAATGGCGGGACCCTCTTGAACTACAAAACTCCGACATAATTAATGACACTCGATTCAAATCGATCAAGGGATTTGGGTCCGTCTGCTCTTTTGCATGATTAATGATCGCAAAAAACAGATCAGCTTTTGCAACTGTTTTCTAATTGTTATTTTGCCAACAGTCAGCTTGCTGTGACAGTTGCTCAAGATTTTCAAGGAGTTTCCATTTGTCATTTGGGCCCTTCTGCGGTCACTTGCAAGGCAGCTGCAGCCGTTCGCCTCTGGTTTTTCTGGGTTCCTTTGTTTTAATATGCAGACTGCAACTGAATCCGAAAAGCGACACACAATTTGACGGACAGAGCCCACCTGAGGTTGTTCCCGAGCGGAAATCACATCGACAAACACCACATAAACTATAAAAATTGTTTATTTTCGATTCAAGGCATTGCACTGTATCAATGTCCATAAATTTGATTATTCCTCTGCCCAATTGCCGTACTGGTTTATGGATAATTTATGAATGTCTCTCGCCCGGAATGTGAGTTGAATAATTGTGGAATTTTCAATTTTCATTGCATTTTTACGCTTTTCTTGTACTCGATTTTTTCTAAAATTTGTTTTTCTTTTATTAACGAATTTTTATCAGTTGTCTGTGATGCAAAGTAAGGCACTAAAAATATTAATTCCTCCCTTCCAAATATCTATTTACTTATATTTATTTGTATTATTTATTTATACTCTGGTTTCAAACTAACTAGAAATATTAGGCCATAAGCGTGGTGGTAGTTATTTACTTTGTATCTTATTTTGAATGATTTGATAAAAGCATTTATTAGTTCGAGCTCTAAAAAATCTGACGATAACGCCATTGCTTTATGGAAAACATTGATATATTTCTAAACTAGAAACAAATATTTGTTCTCATCTTTTCTTTACTATAACTTTTCTGTAACAAATTAAACGTTTGCGAGCCATATGAGGAGAAATAATTCCTTTGCATCTGCGCGTTCCCCGAGGACAGCTGAAATATCTCTATTTTTTGTCATGGCCACACTTGATTAATTCCATAAAAGGATTACGAGAGCCGGCCGGTTATTAGATAACTTCCGCATAAGGATATCGCGGCTGATGAAGTCATCAGCGTGTCCGAAATGCTGAGCAGGAAATTGACATTTATCACACTTTTACCTTTTGCTGCTCGCCCGAACGCACTATTTTTTATTTGCGCACACGTCCTGGCTTCCTTCCTTTCTTTTTATTACACATATATGGGTGCCAGACAATATCCTGTTCCCATTTCAATTGCCATTGTCTGAGATTTTCGCCTTTGTCGCAGGGATTCGTTTCGGGGCCATCATTATCATAATTAATGTGACTTAATCAAGAATAATGTTCGCCAAAGGAACGGAAGGAATATTGCGTCTAATCAAGTTATCCCAAAAGAACCCCTTTGAGAAAATAATGCGGTCAACCGCAGCAGTTGAGAGCAAAGGGAAAGGGTTGAAGGTCAGTTGGGAGTCGGAAATTTCGAGATTCAAAATCCAAAATCCAGAGCCTACTTTGCATACGGGCAATAAAACTGAAGTTTTCTACGTCAAAGATTTATGTAGCATGCAAAAAGGCATTAACGGGAAAGATTCCAGATTTATATTATTATACTTTTCCAGCCCAACTCAGCCTGATGTTAGGGATTTTAATGTTACGGGTGCCCATATGCCAGTTGATATCTCAACCAGATTCACTCATTATGCGTGCATTGTTGTGGTCTCTGGCTCCCTGGGCGACATTCGCACGAATCGTGTCCTGATCCTTATCGCTGCCCAGGGTCCTGCTACCAGGAACTAGTCGTCAATGCGATGGACGGACTACTGTGAACACACATATCTTTGTGCGGCTGGGCTTCCTATCCTATCCTCCCAATCGTCGCACATGTTGACACATTAATGTCCTCGATTCGTGCGTGAGGCCACTGGCAGATCCTAATCGGCGTTACTAACTGGAATCGTGTTGAATCTCACAATGGATTGAATTAATTTTGGGGCCTTTGTTTCGTACAATTAGTACGGTTTTTCGGGGTGAGCGTGATTTCGAATGCAATATGCGGGACTTCCTGATCGATGGCGATCCAGATAAGTTTCAGTTAGGTGTGAAAACATAACGAAAGCGATTATGTTATAAACAATTCTACACTTAAATCATTTATTTCCTTATTTTTTTTATTTTTTGGTACAAAAATGATCTGTTAGGAATTATCAAAATATATATAGAAATATCTTACAGAAAACCAAAAATATTATTAAGTGCTTAGCCAACAATTCTAATTTTCTGATAAAGTATTTTTAAAAATCCCACATTTTTCTACCATTTTGTTCAGTGTAAACTCCAACCGATCAGCGCTGAATTCGTGATTGAATTGTATTTATTTCGGACTGTACCCAAGCTGTATTTTGAACGGGCGTGGTACAGCTGTTCCCAAAAAGGCATAAACAAATCATAACAATTGGTATTGCTGGTGGTAGGATATGTATGTAGGATCCATGATCCATACACACACGGCAGCAATTTATCATCCACTAAACAAGCCAGGAGATGAAGTCGAAGGAGCGGGGAGAAAAGGACTTGCCATTGTTAGGCCAACACTCTTTGTCTTCTCTTTTTGGGCGAAGTCTTCTACTCCCGAGTCGAACATAAATTGGAGGTGTGTGCGCCATATAAACATTAAGTTTTATTTAGATGAGAGTCGGTTGAGAGGTTTTTTTATGGGTGTCCTGATTTCCAACTGTGCCTGATTATTGATTATTCTCCTTCGCCAGTGCACCCCAATAAAAAATGAATTAGGGCATCGGAAATTCTGTTTCTTTACGTTTTCGTTATCGATTTCGTTTTGATTTATTATCGTATCGTAAATTTCTAGGCTACAAAATCCTGTTTCTCTGCTAGATCTTCAGAGTTCCTTGAATAGCTTTGAGCACTAAAGTCATATTTTCCCAGCGATGGCGGCGCCTTCGTGTTCTCCGTTCACTTTTGAGGGTTTTTTTTGTTGATCTCCCTTGACAACGTTTACTTCCTCACTTAGCACCTGGAATCGGCACACACAGCTCTCGACACTAGTTTAGTCCAAATAAAATATTATTTGTTTAGTATTTTTGATTTTTTCGTGCTTTGTTTTTCGTTTTGTTTCGCTTTGTTTTCTGTGTCGAAAACCAAATTTTAATAATGTTAATTTGTTGCGTTTCATGGGACCCGAGATTTATGACGGCTTCTCGAGTATTTCCATCGTCATATTTGGTTTTGTTATTT